CCCTAGCAACGGGGGCCCTGTCCCTTTAAAGCTTCCAAAAAGCACTCACGGAAAAAAAAAAAACGCTCCTATTTCTTTCCATCCGCCGGGAGCCGGAGGGAGGGGCGCTCGGGTCCCGCCGGGCTGGGGCTTGTATCTTACCCCCTTCGCAAGGCGCTGGGTTCTTGCAGGTGTGGATGTGGTCTGGATGTTGTCCTGTGTCCTGTGGTCTCTATTTTAGGAAGATTTCTCTTTGTTATATTTTCATAGCTCTATGTGTTTTTGGGAGGAGATTTCCACTGCTCTACTTATGCCGCCATCCTGGCTCCGCCCTGCCCATTTTTTAAAAACATCTTATCTTTGTGTTTTTCAATTGGATAATTTCTATTGATATATCTTCACGTTCCCTGATTTTTAAATATTATTTCCATTCTGCTATTAGGCTCCTTTGATGAATTTTTAACTTCAGATATTTTATTTTTAAGTTCTAAGAATTTCATTTGCTTATTTTTCAGTTTCTATTTCTTTTCTAAGATTTATTTCCTTCGTTGTGAAAATATTTTCCTTTAATCCATACATCAGCATAATTATAATACCTATTTTAAAATAAAATATTATAGTGCTCATGTCAATATTTGGGTCCTTTTGGGATTGGTGTTAGATGATTTTCTACTCTCCTGATATTGGTCACATTTTCCTGTTTGTTGTATGTTGAACATTTTGGACTTTATCCTAGACCTTGTGAATTTTATGTTGGAGAGATTCTTGATTCCTTTATATAATTCTATGTTGTTGTTCTTTAGCAGGAAATTAAGTTGGCAGACTCAAAGTCAAGCTCTTTTGGGCAGCAGCTCAAATCTCAGTACATTTCTTTCAGCTGCTTTTATCTGCCCTTGCATACAGGTGTACAGCCAGAGAGTCGGGCAGACTTAGACCAGAATCTGGGGCTCTCCTGGCTCTCTTCTTTCTGTGATTTCCTTCTACTATCCATCAGCTGCACTTGTCCCAAATACTGCCCTCTGGTTCTTTAAGCAAGGAAGATAAATTTTAGATTGGACTGAATACTTACTATATGACACTGACTTTGTCTTGACCTAGGTTAAAAGCTGTTAAAATAGGAGACTCATATGGTGCCTGTACTTTTTCCAATTTTAAATGCCCCTTCAGAATCTGCCTTTGTCCACCCTCCAGTACCTTCATGCCATTTACAATATCTGTCTAGAGTTTATAGTTGTTACCTGTGGGAGGGTCAGGTTTGTTAGTTGCCTGCTTCACCATACTAGAAGCAAAACCAAGTTTTCCACATTCAATGAAGAATGTTAACCTATAGATTAAAAAAAGTTCATGAAGCTCAAACTAGATAAATACAAAGAAAATCACACCTAAGGAAACCAGATTCAAGCTGTTGAAAACCAAAGATAAAGAAAAAATCTTAAAAACATGTAACCACCCCCGACCAAAAAAAAACAAACTATAACATACAGAGGAGCAATAAGAATAATGACTGACTAATCATTAACAGAAACACTGGGAGCCAGAGGACAATAAAAGGATGTGTAAAGGCTGAAAATACAACCTGTCAGCCTAGGATTTTATACCTAGTGAAAATAGATTTCAAAAATAAAAGTAAAATAAAGACTTTGATTAAAAGCAAGTACAGAAAATTTTTCTCTGGCAGACATTCAATATGAAATTGCAACAGGATATTTTTTAGTCAGATGAAATGATACCAGATGCAAATTCAGATTTAAAAAAGAATGAGGAGCACCACAAATCGTAACCATGAAAGTAAAAGTAAAGACTTTTGTTCTTATTTTATTTAAGAAAATTTGTGGTGTAAAGCAAAAAACAAAACAAACCTAACAATGCATAATGAGGTTTATAGCATTTGTAGAAGTAAAACATATCCAATTGTGCAAAAGAAGAGAAGCAGTAAATAGAATTACATTGTTGAGAGGTCCTTACATTGTGTGCAAAGTGATAAACATTAATTCAAAATAAACTGAGTTAAAATAAGGGTAAGTTTTGTAATTTCTAGAGTAATCAATAAAATGTACAAAGAACAATAACTAAAAACCGAAAAAAGAAATTTAAATATAATTTTTAAAAAATGTATTCAATACAAAAGAAGGCAAAAAAAAAAAGAACACAGGAATGAAGGACAGATGGATAATTAGAAAGTAAAAGCAAAAATGATCTCATTAAAAATGATATTAAATGTACATGGACAAAATATTAAAGGCAGAGTTGGATAGATTGAATAACAAAACCAGACCAAATAATACTCTGGTTTTCAAGAACTGAAGTTTAAATATAAAGACACAGATAAGTTGAAAGTAAAAGGATTCCAAAAGATATACCATGTAACCATGAACCATAAGAAAGGTGGAAAGGCTACATTAATGTCAGAGATAAAGAAGGACATTTCATGATGATAGAAGGTTCAATTCATCAACAAGATACAGCAATCCTAAATGTGTAGGCACTAATAATCAAGTTTCAAAATAAAAGAAGCAGGGAAAGGATAGTTTTTCCAACAAGTGTGTACCTAAACTTATTGAATTATATGTTTACATATACCAAATCAGTATGTTGTACACCCAAAACTAATACAATGTTATATGTCTGTTATATCTCAATTTTTAAAAAAATTAAAAAGAACCCCAAATGGTACTAGAACGATTAGCTAGCTATACAAATGCCAAAAAATGAACCTGTTCACTAAACTCACATCCTAATAAAAAATTAAGTCAAAAGGGATCACAGGCTCAAATGTAAGAGCTAGCACTCTAAATACTCTAGAAGAAGCACAGAAAAAGCCTTTCTGACCTTATGATGAGCAAATATTTCTTAGGATACAAAAAGCACAAATTGTAAATGGGAAAAACTGTTAGTGGACTTCATCAAAATTGAAAGGTTCTGGTCTTCAAAAGAGAGAGCTCAGAAAATGAAAAACAAATCCCAAACTGGGAAAAATAATTTTGTAAACACATCTGATAAAGGACTTGAACCCAGAATATTTAAAGAAGTCTTACCACTCAATAAATATGAAAAACAAAACCAATAAGAAATGGTGAACGTTTTGAGCAGTTACTTTCCCAAATGTAATAGGTGGCAAAAAAATAAATGAGAAGATGCTCAAAAGAATTGGTCGCTAGAGAAATGCATATTAAGTTCCTAATGAGGTGCCAGTGACTGAAAGTAAAATGATGGTACTGACTGCTGTTAAAAATGCATAGAAAACAAAACTCTCAGATACTGCTGATGGACATGAACAATGGCACAGCCACTTTGATAGTTTCTTATTAAGTGTCCACTTACCATATGACCTAGCAATTGCACTCCTGGGTGTTTATTCAATAGAAATGAGAACATATGTCCTTACAATGCTTTGTATATGAATGTGTAATGGTAAAAACCAGGAACATCCAAAATGTCCATTAACAGAATAAATGAACAAGTTGTAGTAGATTCACACAATATTGTGGATACAGGTGAACAATGGGAATAATAATACAACTACATTCAGTAACTTGGACACACTTGAAAAGAATTAGGTTGCACAAAAGAAGCTGGACATAGGTACAAGCTGTCTGATTCCATTTACTTGAAGTTTAAGAACTGGGAAATGTGTTCAAGGGTGATAGAAATCATAACAATGGTTGTCTATGGAGTAGGTAGGGGTGGTGGGGATTGATGGGAAGAGCCCCAGGGGAACTTTCTGGGGATATGGAAATATTCTATATCTTGATGGCAGTGGTGATTACATGGGTTTATACACTTACTAAAATTCTTCACAGCATTTCACTGTGTGTACATTTTATAAAAATTATCTTGAAAGCTCATTTCCATATTTTATGTTTTAGGCTTATTAGGTTTCTTCTTTTTTTCAGTGCTAATTAATGAAATTCTAGGGTGTAGGCTTGATGATGCTGCTAACAAAGAAAATCTTAGGGAAGTATAAAATATGTGCTCTTGTCCTATAGCTGAAGAAATACAGACATCACTGGGTATCATAAAGCTGTTTCTGATAAAGCAGTAAACTGAGAGCATTCACAAAAGTATCACCTTTGCACTCCTGTCTGATGTGTGTAAAAATACATAATCATCTTTTGGAAGATGTCAGTAAAGACACCCAGACTTCAGAGTTCTTGTTTTTGTTTTGTTGGTTTTATTGTATTCTGTGGACTGTAACCAATAATCCCTGAAAGTTTGCTTTCTGGTTATATTATTCAATAATTTGTTGCCTTTGTAATAATGTTTATTTGATGAATATGCTTTCTTAAAGATATAAATAATTAAAGTTATTTTTGTTAACTCTTTGACACTTTTTTCCTTTCCCTACCTGAAGAAATTTAATGATGTCCAAATCTTTTGGACTTAGTCAAGCAGCGGGGTTGTGAGTCTGAGTCTCATTTAAGTTAATAGTGCTAAGAAGTAGACGCAGAAAGGGGTTGATGGACTGGTCAAGAGGTTCACATGGACAGAGAGTAAATGTGGAATGATTTAATTGTTGAATGAATAATTTAGCTGCTCATCCTGAGAGTAAGATGGCAGCTGGGAGTCTTAGATCTTGTAAGTTCAATTATGCATTATTTTATTCATTAATTTAGCCAACAAATATCTCAATCCTACTCCTACTACCAGGTACTACATCAATCAGGGACTAGTGGAAATAAAACTTTAAAATTCACCAGGGCCTACAAGCTCTAAGGTGTATCCTCATGTAGCTGGTAGTCCAAACCCTGAGGACAGGGTGCCCTTGGGTGGTGCCCAGATCACTGAGAAGGTGGTGTCCTGCAGCAGGCATCCAGACTTCTGAAGACATAGCTATGGCAGCCTGGACTCTGTGTGCCGCAAATAGTTGGGGGCAGAAGCCAAATGTTTGCTGCTGCTTGACAAACACAGGCAATCTCTGGAAAACTGGAAGTTCTTCTCCCCTTTGTCCAGCTCCCCAGGTCCCTTTGGTGCATCCCATTGTCAGAAGTTAGGAGGAAGCCAGCTGGAAAGAGAAATAGACTTTTAAAGGTGGGATTGTGAAATTGGTTTGGTTATGTCTTTGTCCTTGGACTAATGCTGGGCCACCTTAGCAATGTAAATGGGATTCTGGTATCCCAACATAAAGAGACATCTCAGATAATCTAATTATCAGTCATGGTTGCTTGAGATGAAGTGTCTATTGGGTCCAACACCACGTGAAAACAAATGGCTGAGGAAAACTGTAAGGATGTTGAGGTGGGCTGCTATCCTGGCTGCACTGCTGAGTTCAAAAAAGGGCTAACTTGGGGATTTAAAGTCTCGGCTCAAGTTATGGCCAAAGAACCAGAGAGGTTTTATGGCAGCTGTATCAGCTATCTACTACTGTATAACAAATTTCCCTAGAACTTAATGATGTAAAATAATAATAACCCTTATCTCTCAGTGTCTGAGGGTATGGAATTCAGGAGTGGCTTATTGTTCAGGCTCAGAGTCTCTCAAGAGGTTGCAATCAAGATATTGGCTGGGGCCACAGTCAGCTGAAGGCTTGACTAGAGCTGGAGGATCCATTTCAAAGATACTACTTCACATGGCTGGAAAGTTGGTGCATGTCTGTCTGTTTACCCTTTCAGTTCTTAGAATTTTTGCTCCATGTATTTCAAAACAATGTAGGTGCATACACATTTCAGATAGTGACGTCTGTCTTCTTGGTTAGTTAATGTGTTTATCACTATGTAATTGCCTCTATCCCTTGTCATTTTTCCTGTTCTGAAGTCCAGTTTGTTTGATATTAATCTAATTGAATTGAATCCAATCTAGTCTAATCTAAAAATAGCCAGTCCAGCTTTAAAAAAATTAGCACTTAGGTGATTTATCTTTTTCTGTCATTTTACCTTTAACCTATCCAAATCATTATATTTCAAGTTGGTTTCTTGTAAACAACATATAAATTGTTTTTTAATAATACAGTCTCTCTTTTATTTTTTTGGTAGGAACACTTTATATATTGAATTCTTTGACTTTGCAAATATTTTCCATATGTTGCAAATATTTTCTCCTGGCTTGCCATCTGCTTTGGTTAGATTTTTTTAAATTATTTTAAAAATTTGTATAATGTAAATTGATTTATTTTCTGTTAAGTTTTACATGTTTTAACACATTTATAGATTCATATAACCATTACAATCAGGATACAAACAGTTCCATCATCCTCAAAAAACTCCCTCATGCTGCCCCTTTGTAGGAAATCTTTCCCCTTCCCGTAATCCCTGGTCACCATCGATCTGTTCTCCATACCTGTAGTCTTTCCTTTTACAGAATGTCCTACAGATGGAATTGTATTCTATGTAATCTTTTGAGAATGACTTCTTTCACTCAGGATAGTGCTTTTTAGATTTATCCATGTTGCATGTATGAATGGTTCATTTCTTTTTATTACCAAGTAGAATCAGTTTACTGTAGTTTATTCATTTACTTGTTTCCAGATTTTGGCAATTGTGAATAGAGCTTTTAGAAAAATCCATGTACTTACTGGGTTTGTGTGTGCGTGAACATCAGTCTTAATTTCTCTACGGTAAATACCTAGGAGTGGGATTGAAGGGTTATATGGTAAATTATATGATAAATGTGTGGTAAGTGTATGTTTAACTCAAAGGAATACAGATTGATTGTATCATTTGGCATTCCCTCTACCCATATATGAGAGTTCCAGTTCCTCCAATACTCACTTACACTTGGTCATGTCAGTTTCAAAAATGTTACCCATTCTAATACGTGTGAATTGCATCTCATTATAATTTTAATTTGCATCATATCCCTAGTGACAAATGATGCAAGGCATCTTTTTATGTGCTTATTTGACATCTGTCTTTCTAGATTAATTTTTTAAATCTTTTGCTTATTTTTTAAAAATTGGACTGCTTTCTTATTTTTGAGTTTTGACAGTTAATTGTATACATTCTGTATACAAGCTCTTTTTCAGATATATGATTTGCAAGTGCTTTCTTCCAGTCTGTGTATTGTCTTTTTATCCTCTTAATAGTGTATTTCACAGAGGAAAAGTTTAACTTTGATGAAGTCCAGTTTATTAACATTTTTTTTTCCTTTTGGGGTTGTGCTTTTGGTGTCATATCTGAGTACTCTTTGCTTAACCCAAGTCCTGCATATTTTCTCCTAGATTTTCTTATGAACATTTTATACTTTCACATTTAGATCTATAATCCACTTGGAATTTTTCCATAAAGTTGGAGGTTTAGGTTTGGATTTTCTTTGTTTAGGATATATGAATGTCCAGTTGTTCCAACACCATTTGTTGTAAAGACTCTTTTCTTTACTGAAGTGCCCTTTGTATCTTTCCCAGAAAAAACTTGGCTCTATGAATATGGGTCTTTTTCTGAACTCTATTCTATTCTGTTGGTTTGTGTGTCTATCCCTCCACCAGCACGTCACTGTAGCTGAGGTGTAGTTAATCACCAACATGATTACAGCAGTTCGATACACAGCAGGTCTTAACATTGAGTAGGGTGTATCTTCCAACTTTTTCTTTCTTCAAGATTATTTTAACTTTTCTAACCCCTTTGCCTTTTCATATAAATTTTAGAATCAGCTTGTTTATTTCCACAAATAAAGAGTACATCTTGGAGTTTGGGAATTGTGTGAAATCAGCAGATTAGTTTGGGGAGAATTAACCGTGTTGTCATCCAATTCATGAACATGATGTCTCTCCATGTATTTAGGTCTTCTTTGATTTCTTCAGCATTTTGTAGTTTTCAGTATACAGATCCTACACATATTTTGTTAGATTTATAACTTTAAGTTAGATTTATTTCCTTTTGGGGGAACTGTTGTAAAGGGTACTTGAACATTTTGGTTTCCGATTGGTCATTGGCAGTATGTAGAAGTACAGCTGATTTTTAGACTGACTTTGTGCCTTGTATCTTTTGACTTTGCTAAGCTTAGGAGTCGTCATTGTTGTAGACTCATTAGGATTGCCTATATAAGCAATCAGGTCTTCTGAAATAGGAGGTGTTTTATGTTTTCCTTTCCTTCCACATTTTACTTCTTGTCTGCTCCCTTGTCTTCCTGCAACAAACAGTACAATGAGGAATAGGTGTGGTGAGGCCGGACCTCTTAGCTGTTTGCCTCATCTTAGGAAGAAAGCATGAATTATTTCACCATTAAGTACAATGTTAGCTGTGGGGTTTTGCAGTTGCCTTTAATCAGGTTAGGGAAGTTACTGTGTATTTTTAGTTAGTTTTTTTTTTAAACCAGGAATGGATGTTGAATTTTTGTCAGATGGTTTCATCCTCATTTGATGTAATCTGGTAACATGATGGATTACACTGACTGATTTAAAAAATTGACATGTAATTCACATATGTCATTCATATAAATGGAACCATATAGTATGTGGCATTTTATGTCTGGCTTCTTCTACATAGCATATTGTTTTCAGAGTTTATCCACGTTGTAGAACATATCAGTATTTCATTCCTTTTCATGGCTGAGTCATATTCCACAGTATGTATATATTAGGTTTTGTTTATCCATTCAGCAGCTGATGGATATTTGGGTCGTTTCCGCTATTTGACTATTATGAATATTACCATGAGCATTAAAGCCCAAGTTTCTGCATGTGCGTGTTTTCATTTCTGTTTATATACCCAAGAATGGAATTGTTGGGTCATGTGGTAACCCTTCTAACATTTTGAGGAACTGCAAAATTGTTTGAATAGTTCCCATGAGCAGAGAATGAAGTTTCCAAATATTCCATATCCTTACTGACATTTTTTTCTTTCTTTTAAAAAATTATGGTCATCCTTGTGGGTATGAAGTGGCATTTCACTGTGGTTTACCATGGATTGATTTTTAAAATACCAAACCACCATTACATTCCTGAGGTAACCCCTCCTTGGTCATAGTATACTATTCTTTTTAGATATTGCTAGATTCTATTTCCTAATACTTTGCTGAAAATTTTCATTTTCACATTCTTGAATGATATTGGTGTATAATTTTTCTCTTCTTGTACTGTATCTGATTTTGGTATCAGGATAATACTGACCTCATAAAATCAGTTTAAAAATGTTCCCTTCTCTTCTATTTTTCTGGAAGAACTGTAGAATTTGTTTTTTTTCCTCTTTTAAATTTGCCAGTGACATCATCTGGGCTTGAAGTTTTCTTTTTCCGAGGGTTTTAAACTACAATTCCAATTCATTTAGTAAACAAATAATTAGTCACATTTTCTGTTTCTTTTTTGGTGAGTTTTGGTTGTTTGAGTGTTTTAAGCAATCACTCCATTTCCTCAAAATCTAAGATTTTGGTGCATCAAAGGACACTATCAAGAAAGTGAGAACACAACCCACAGAATGGGAGAAAGTATTTGCTGATTGTATATATAATAAGGGACTTCTATCTAAAATATTTAAAGAACTCTTACAACTCAATAATAAAGACAAATAACCCAATTTCAAAATGGAACAAGTAGTTGAAGACACATTTATCCAAAGAAGATACACAAATGGCCAAGAAGCACCAGAGGAGCTGCTCAGCATTAGTTTTTGAGGAAATGCCAAGTAAAAACCACAATGAGGTGCCACTTCACACACACAAGGATGACCAGAATAAAAATAGCAGACATAATTGTGAGAGCTAAATGAATCGAAATCCTCATACATTCCTAGTAGGAATGTAAGATGGTACAGCTGATGTGGAAAATGATTTGGAAGTTCCTCAAAATGGAAAGCACAGGGTTACTACCCTCAGCTACATAACCAAATAAAATGGAAACTACTATTCACACAAAAACTTGTACACCAATGTTCATAGGAGCCAAAAAGTGGAAACTGATCACATGCCCACCAACTGATAAATGGTAGTATATCCATATAGTGGAATATTATTCTACATAAAAAGAAATGAAGTACTGATACATGCTAGGGTGTGGATGAACCCTGAAGATATTCTCAGTGAAAGGTGCCAAGTGCAGAAGACTATCGCATGGACAAAACATATCCAAATCTATATTTAGAGAAAATAGGTTAGTGGCTGCCCAGTCTGGGGGAGAGGGAAATGGGGAGTGACTGCTAATGGGCCCAGGGTTTCTTTCTGGGTGCTGAAAATGTCCTAAAAGTAAATTACAGCGATGATTGCACAACTCTGAATATGTTAAGAACTACTGAATTTTACATTTCAAGTAGGTGACTTGCATATAAATCATCTCATGGTATTAAAAATCAATTTTGACATCATAACCAATTGTAGAAATGAGGACTATGGTAGCTCTGCATGTTTCTTGCTTGTTATGTGTCTGTGAACTAATCTTCCCTTCACTATACTTCCCTTATTTTATGTAAAAGCATGGACAGTGATTAACTTTATTAGCTGCCTCTAAGTTGCAGAATATTCAAGGGGAATGCTGACTGGAGTTCAGTGTTGGACGATTACGTGACCACGACTACAGAACTTGGCTGTTCCTCTCTTCTGTGGAGAGGATGACGCATCTGTGTACAAAGGATACGCATCTCTCGTTTGGGGAAGCGTGAAGTTTAGAGTTGTGTAGAGCTCGAATCCGGTACCAAGGTATGTAAGGGTGACGAGTAGCCCAAACGGGGGCTGCGCTGGCTATGTATTTCCCCAGCCCCAAGCCCACTGTTTTCCGGTCTGTGCTGCTGGACTCTTGAAAATTACATTTCCCAGGCTCCCTTGCCAGGCGGCTTCCGTCTAAGGTGGGCCGGCTGCGGGGGGGACGGGGCCTCTCTTCTGCTCTCCAGCGCAGACCGGCAGTCGCAGGCATTCGGTTGAAGCGCCATTCATGCACCTGCCTTCTTACAAGTCCCAGCGCCAGCTGCTTAGAATCTAACCCTTCCACCAACACACATCAAAAACCCAAGCACTGGTCCCAAGGGGCTCCTCCTCCAAGTTCCTAGCCAGCTTCCGAGTTGACCTCTAGCGGTCCTTCCCGGCCCTGGTGGCCCTCTCGCTCTGCATGAGGATTGGCCCGTGCGACCAGTGGACTACGGTGGAAGGGATGCGTACTTCAGAGACGAGGTCCTAAAAAGCATCAGGGCTCTTGCTTTGCTCTGTTGGGATGCTGTCCCTAAGAATGCAGTGAGGACACTTGAGCCCCACAGAAGGGCCCTGGAGAGGGGCAGAGGCCTCTTGTCAACAGCCAGCATCAACCTGCAGCCACAGGAGAGCCACATAAAAGGGTCCTTGGAAGGGGACCCTCCAGACTCAGCCATGCCCTCAAAGGATCCCAGCCGCAGGCAATATCTGACCTCAACTTTAAGAGGCCCCAGACCCAAACCGGCCACCCAACCTTAGGAGGGACCCCAGACCCAAACCGGCCACCCAAGGTGCTCCCAAATTCTTGGTGGAGCAGTTGTGAGCCATGAGTGATCCCTGTTATTTCAAGCTGCCAAGCTTAAGGGGTGACTTGCTATGCAACACACGATAACTAGAGTACCCTTGTCTTTCCTTAAATGCCCCAGCCAAGGTGTGGGGCTGCTGTCTGCAGCTCAGCATGGGCTCAGTATACGTTTGCCCTCCCACTGTTTTTCAACACCTGTGTAAACAATTCCCTGGGTTAAATGCCCTATAGTTGGAATAACTAGTGTGGTTTCTGTCTTTTGGACCGGACCCTCTGCAATTTTGAATGAAGAAAATATTAAATAAAAGCAATACATTCCCTAGTGTCCACCCCGCTCTGCCCACACCCCGACCTTCCCAAGCCCAGCTCTGTCTTTGCTGGTCCTGACTGGGCCACCACCCTGCTCCTGCCCTCTGTGTCCCCCTCCCATCTCCACCTACCCCTCCATGCTTGTCTTTCCACCAGGCTTCTAGTCACAAAGTTCCTCTTATCCTATTTCCTTGGGGCCCCCAGACACGTGGCAACACGGATCTGGGTGAGGAGTACGGACTTGAGTTTATTGTTCTGAGTCTGGGTGTTGTTCCTTAGACATGATTCCTGGATGGAGGTGACTGTGTCTCACCTCCCTGAGTCCTAGTCCTGTGGGCCTATTGAGATTGTTTCCCAGGTTCAAAGTGCACGGAGAAGGCTTCACAGTTTTAATATTTCCTAGATGCTCAACTGAGGCAGTGACAAAATGGCACCCCCACCCCCACCCGCCAAAAAAATAAAACCTCAAGCCCCCGGCAGCAGCTGCTGCAGCCGTATGAAAAAATAATACAAACTCTTCTTAAAAAATAGATTACACAGAAGGAACCCAGGGACAGAGAGGGGCATGGGGAAGGGCAGGGGCCACTCCAGCCACTGGCAGGGAGCTGTGGGAGAAGCCAGAGGGGCGCTGAGATGAACTCTGGGAGCTGGGATGCTGGTGGACACTTGCCTTGTCCACTCTGCCCAGCCCCGCTGGCTGCTCCTCCCAGCAGCTCGGGCCCAGGGACCATGGCTCTCCTCTCCTTCAAGGGACACTCCCTTCACCCTGAGGCCTGGTGCCTGCTTCTCCTTAAAGTGGCTTCAATAAAGAAATGGAAATCCCCAAAGCAGGAGAGGGCTGCTGCTTGGCCAACGGGGGCTTCCATCCCATGGGAGTAGACCTCCCTCTGCTTTGGGGGTTTGGATAATTATCAGTACCTGCTGCTACGTAGACACCCCCTGGGGGGTGATGGGCCCCAGACTCCCAGTGGGCTCTTGGGAACACGGCCTCTCTCTTGATACATGCCCCCCTATGTGCCCAGCCATTTCAGGGCACAGTCTGATGGCATGGGGGCAGTGTGGCTGGGGGCAGTGGGGTGCGGGATGGGGCGCAGCTCACACTAGCCCTCCAGCTCATGCAAAGAGAAGCGAGTGGGCGGCCCCACCAAGACAGAGGTGAGGCAGGGTGAGGTGACGGTGTGTGTGCAGCCAGACCAGCTCTGGGGCCGGGAGCAGAGACAGGGCAGGGACTGCAGCCTGCAGGGAAGGAAGAAGCAAGTGAGGGCCTGACGCTAGGGAGGGTTCTGGAACCCGCCATCAGCTGGGGCTCCACACCTGGCCACTTCCTGCAGAGTATCTGGTGTAGGGCGGATTCTCCGGAGGTGGGGACAGGGGCAGCTGGGTGGGCTGGGCTCAGTCAGGGACCTCAGGGTGGGCTGGCAGTCCACTCTCGCCACACCGGTAGGTCTCCCAGAAGCCCCTGTCCAGCTGCTCCAGCTGCGGGCCCAGTGGCAGGTGGCCGGCCAAGTGCATGCGGAGGGTCTCCAGCCAGTGCTCTAGTTTCACGAAGGAGGGCCTAGGGCAGCAGGTGAGGGGAAGCGAGGGTTCTGGCTCTGTTAAGAATTGGCTCCACTCCCAAGGCCAGCCCAGGTGGAGCCCCCACCCTGCTCACCTCTTCTCAGGGTCCAGATCACAGCAGCGCACGGTGATGGGGAAGAAGCTTGGGGGGCAGTTTGGGGGACAGTAGCGGTCCAGGAAGCCTCGCACATTGAGGCCAAAGTCCATGGTGCGGGGCAGGTAGTCAGGGTCGGCGTTCACCCGCCCAATGATCTGTCCAGTACAAGGCCCAGCAGTTACCCAGGGGCCCCTGGGGCTGGGTGCCATCCAGGTGGGTTTGAGGGCAGGTCCCACGGGGCCTGGAGCCAGGCTGCAGGGTGCTGTGGGTGGTCCCATTCCCAGGAGTCTCCCTGGCTGGGGCAGCCTGCAGCCTGGGAGTATGGGAGTGGAGAGGAGTCACAGGGCCTGATGCTACCTGCTGCCCAGCCCGGACCTACCTCACACAGAACGATTCCAAAAGAAAACACATCCACCTTCTCGTCATAGCTGCGGCCTGGATGAAGAGACCCCCTGTCAGTAGGTGAGGCAGAGCCATGACTGCCAACTGGCAAGGGTAGTGGGTGGATGCCCTGGCCAGCAGGTTGGAACCAAGAAGCAGATTCTATCTCCCTGGGACCAGAGCTTAGACTCTGCCCCCTGCCCCCAGCAAGTCTGAGCAAACCTTCGGGGTTGAGGAGGAGAGCCCTGGGTAAGGGGCTTCAGGCCCAGCCTGGTCACTGACAAGCTGTATGACACTGGGCAAGTCATGTGCTTCAAGGTGGCCCCCAAAATAACCCTATCGAACTCCTAGAACCTGTAAATGTTACTTTGCTGGAAAAAGGGTCTTTGTAGATATGATTAAATTAAGGATCTTGAGATGAGATAATCCCGGATTATCTGGGCAGGTCTTAACACACCGTCATGTGTCTTTCCACAAGAAACTGAAGAGAAGACACACAGAAGAGGCACCTCGAGATTGGAATGATGCGGCCACATGCCCGCAAATGCCAAGACAGCCATTAGAATAGAAGGAATGGACTGTCCCCCAAATCCCTGGAGGGAGCACAGCTCCACTGGATTTCAGACTTCTCGCTTCCAGAACTATGAGGTAATAGGCTTCTGTTGTTTATGGTAATTTGTTAACAGCAGCCTCAGGAACTGACACAGACCCTCTAAGCCTCAGTTCCCTCAGCTGTAAAATGGGAATGATAGCACCTACCTCATGATGTTAAAAACAATTAGTAGAGCCATGCTCATTTATTGAATTCTGACTAGTTTATAAACCTTTTCTAAGCCTCACACCACCCCTTAAAGATGGGGACTGTTAATCGTACTTTATAGGTTGTTTGGCAGGGGGCGGGGAGGGGCCTATGTTAACTCTGGTCAGTGCTAGCGGTGAGGTGACCCAGGGTCCTGGCCCTGTGTTTGCTTGTCACCAGCCTTGGAGGGCCTTTAGAACCCCCTGGGCATACATGGGTCACTGAGTGACAGGCCTGATAGAAAAGAAATGGGAGTGGGAGAGCGGGCTCATGCCAGGTTCACAGTGGCCCGTGACTATGCCACCTCACATGGAATTTATAGGTGTGATTAAAGGCTCTTGAGATGGGAGATTATCTCTGATTACTAGGGTGAGCCCCATGCACCCACAAAGGCCATTATGAGAGAGGAAGCAGGGGGTAGGTCAGGGAAGGTGTGACAATGGACACAGATGTCAGAGAAGATGCCATGCTGCCAGCCTCAGGGGAGGATGGGGCCTCGAGCCAAGGATGGAGGCAGCCTCCAGAAGCTGGAAAAGGGAAGGAAACAGATTCTCCCCTTGGTCTCCCAGGAGCTGCTGACACCTGGCCCAGGGAGACAGAATTGGACTTCTGACCTCACAGCTAGATGATCATTTGTATCTTTTAAGCCATTTGTGTCTTTTGAGCTAATTTGTTACAGAAGCAATAGGAAGCAAACTACAGGACTCAAGGAGGCAGCAGAGGGGCTGAGGAGGCCAGGGGTTGGGTGGCTGCAGCTCTGCCTGGGGTCCCTGGGCGCTGGGGGATATGACGGGTCCACCAGCTCACCATTGATCATCTCGGGCGCCATCCAGTAGGGGTTGCCCACCACTGTGTAGCGCTTTTTACGGTCTGGCTTCTTGAGGCTCCGCAGGTCCTCGGACTGTGTCTTCTCATCCACCATGAGCCGCGCCAGCCCAAAGTCAGCCACCACCACGTTCTTGTTCTGGGGTGATGACAAAGGAGGCCACGCTGAGACGCGCTCCTGGCACCGCCTGCCCACCCTCCTCCAACCCCCACACCAGCCCACAGACAGCCCAGAGTGCACTCCTCTGACACCCGGGGGCCCCTGGCCTGCCCAGCAGGGCCCTGGATGCCTTGTTGTGGACAAGAAGGCAGTGATTCTAGTTGGAGACCCAGGTCCTTTGCCTGGCATGTTACACCTCTTGTCTCTTAATCCTACAACAATATGATGAGGTGCATTTTACTCTTTTCCTCTTTACAGATGAGGTGACCCAGGCCCAGTTAGGTTAAGGAAGTTTCCTAAGGCTACCCAGCTGGTCAGCAATGCTGCTTTAGGCTTGTGAGGCCCTCCCAGGGCCTGGCCCAGAGCCCTGCAGAGTGGAGGGACAGGCAGGGAGCCCGGGGGCACCAGTGCCAAGTCAGGAGGTGGGGGGGTCCTCCACAGGCTCTGGGGCCAGGCCAAGGTGCCCAGCCCGAGGACTGGCCACTGTTGTGTGGATGCCGAGCAGTGGGCACAGAGAGGCTGGGCAGCAGGGTTAGGACCAGGTTCATTCTGAAGGGAAGGACCTTGTGCTGCCTCTGCAAGTGACACAAACAAGGACAGTTCCCTAGAGAAAGCTCTACAAAGACGGCAAATAGGGGAGAGGCCGAATGTGTGTCCAGGGCCCCCTTGGGATGGGGCCTCAGGTGACACAGCCCATCTTGGGGCTCCACATCCCCAGGTGTAATACCAGGGGGCACCTTGGCTGGGGTGGGGGAGGGGTCTGGACAGGATCCTTGGGCCCCCAGGAGTGGCTGTTGAAGGCCAAGGCCCATAAGGATTGTTCAAGTGCTGAGTCCTGTCCCATCCCTTTCAGAAGGCCTGAGGTGGGGCTTGGGACTGTACCCTCCTGAAGAGTCCCCCAGGGTCTAATGGTACGGGAGGTCCACAGACCCTGCTATGGAAACAGATTCTCAGGGGCCCCAGACTGCAGGCCAAAGTTCTGGTTGTGCATAGATGGATTCTGGGGATGGGTGGGCTTACAACTCTCATCAGATTCTGAAGGGCTAGGCCCTGCTGTGGGATCAAGGCTGCTATGGCCTCCTTGCCTGGCCACCACACTAACACTGCCCTGCAGTGATACCCATGGCCAACAGGCAGTCTGAGCTGGCTCCCTGAGGCCAGGTGGGCCCAGCCTTGCCCACCTCTCTGTGCTCACTGCCCACTGCTTCCTGCAGCCCAGAGGGCTGAGACGCCGCACTCCACAGGGAGCAAATATCACTTCCTGACTGGCATGCCCCTGGGCCTTCCCATGTGCATTCCCACCCCCTATACACTCTTCCTGTACTGAATTCACTGGCAAACACCTGCCTGGGGGACGTCCTCCTCCAGGACCAGATCTCAGCCTTCCTGCAGTGTGATGTACAGATTCCTCCCCCAGACTCATGGCTGCCTGGCACCTCGATGTCACCTTACTTAGCAACAGGGGTTTTGCAGATGTAATTAGATCAGATGAGGTCACACTGCGTTAGGGTGGGCCCTAAATCCAATGACTGGTGTCCTTATGAGAAGAGGGCTCCAGCCACAGGGAAGGCCACGGGAAGACGAAGTCAGAGCCTGGTGTGGCTGCGACCCAGGAATGCCGCGGAGGGCCAGCAGCCGCAGAAACTAGAGAGGCATGGGACACATCTCCTTCAGAGCCTCTAGACGGAATGTACACTGCCAACACCTTGATTTTGGCCCTTTTGTTTCCTGAACCCTGAGAATACATTTCTGTCATTTTAAGCCTTTGCTCTGTGGCACTCTGATGGCAGCCCTGGGACACCAGTACGCTGCCTCTCCTGTTGGGCAGTCACTCCCTCCCTCCTCTGCCTTCTGTGGACAGCCTGTGGTCCCCTCAATCACCACTCCTTAGGCCTGGGGCTCCCTATCCCCACTGACCCCCACTTAAGTATGTCCTTGCAAAGCATCTTTCAGAAGCCTGCCCTGACCACACGTCCAGTCACTCCTGCAGCCCTACAGCTGTACGTGCTGCCTAGTGGAAGCCTGGCCGTTGCTGTGGGCTGTTCTCTGTCAATGACACACTCACAGTCCTTTAGAGTTTACACATCACTTTCTCCTTCACTGGTTGACCAGACCCTCCTAATAGCCTGGACGTTGGTGGCTCGGAAGGCTGGGTGCAAGTGAACGGCAGGGCCAGGTCTGACTGCCTTCTGGCCCAGAGCTGCTTCCCTACGGGCCAAACTGCGGTGGGAAGGCAGCCCAGGACCCCAGTGCAGGGAAGGTCCTGAGCCCAGGCCAGGAGTGTGGCAGGTGGGGCTCCTGTGGTCTCTCCCCGGGGCCCAGGCTGCTCACCTCACGGACCAGGCAGTTGTGGGAGTTGAGATCACGGTGGATGATGTTCATGGAGTGGAGGTAAGCCTGGGGGCGGGGGCACGGAGGTCAGGAGGCAGCTGCCAAGGGCCCCCAGCCCTGCCCCTGCAGGCTTCCGCCTCCCTCCTGCCCCAAGCAGTCCCGCCACTTGATCCCCTCTGCCCTCTCTCAAAGCTTCCTTGTGGCTTCATCTCTAAATTCCTTGTGCAAATTCAGGTAGCGGTAGAGAATGTTTTCATAAGCGGGGGCAGATCAGCCAGCCACACCCCCCATGAAGTCAGAACCAGAGGCTACTCACCATCCCTGAAGCGATATCCTTAGCAAAGCTCACCCTCTGGTTCCATGGGTACTGGCTGTCCTGGGAGGGGAGAGAGAAGGGCCATGATGGGCCAACGGGGGCCATGGCAGTGGCACAGCTGGGTGAGAGAAGCAGGCGTCCACTGACACCCACTCTCTTCTGCAGCCACACCGACTGCTTCTGAGGGGTCGGGTGGATCACTCATAACATTATTTTCTAACGACCAATTTCAGACACTAAGCAGGGGACACACCTCATGATTCCTGATTCATCTCCTCTGAGAAAAAAAGCTGTATCGATCTCTGACAAAATCTTATTCTTTTGAGTTTTAAAGAAGTCTGAACCTACTTTCACAATGCACAGAGATAGATGAGCCTGGCTGGGTAGGCTGCAGGTCACCAGCCCTAAGTCACTCCGGAGAGCGGGGCTTAGGGTTCAGATCATTTGGGGAAGTGCCTCGTTTTCTGACCCCAACCGCTTGGAGGCCTCGAGCAGGAGAGTGAGGACATCAGTGGGTAGTAAAGGAGCAGGGTGCAGCTAGGAAGCCCCAGTGGGTGCGGCCCGGCATTCCTACATGTACTTGACTGCAGAATCCCTCCTGAGAAGCTGCCCGTTAGCAGCCCGTGAGGACCACGCTGCGGCCACCCCAGGTCATCCAGCCTGTGGGACTGAGGACTCAGCAGTGTGGGAGGGGAGCGGGCTCTTGTGGTCTCAGGGTGACACTGAGGTGGGCGAGCACTGGACTCCAACTCCAAAGGCACAAGGGCACCAAACATAATATTACTTCCCCTCCAAATGCATTAAATTTCTCAAGATGGATTTGCAATGCTATCCAAGCCCTTAAAGAAAGTTCTTAGTTTTATGGAATGTGATAAATAGTAAATACAACTTGGTTTTGCCAGAAGCTAAACAAAGGCCCGGGGTGGAGAGGTAAGGAAGGTGCTGCTCCTCAGGTGCTCCTACTTGTGGTGGGTGAGACTGGATCTGGCTGCTCTGGGGCAGGGCTGGGCCGGGGGCCCACAAAACGGCTAACCCCAAACAGCTGAGCATCCCCTTGGCGAAACCGCCACCTTCTCCGGACCCCAGCTTTAGCTGGACTCGGTTGCTCCTTGTTCAATTCAGAATCAGGCTTTGGAGAGCCTTTGAGCCCAGAGGCTCACTTAAGAGCTGGGGACATGGCCCCAGTGGGCATCTGCCTTCTGGGGGCCCCACAGTGGGCAAGGCAGGGCCAGGGCAGCAGGTGGGGGCTCTGCCCAGGCACTCACCATGTTCTTGATGATGCCCCTGAGAGTGCCCCCCTTGATGTACTCAGTGATGAAGTTGAGTCTCTTGTCCTTGTAGAGCACCCCAATGAACTTGAGCACGTTGGGATGCTCCAGGCATCGCATGACCTTCACCTGGCGAGGCACAGACAGGCTGGGCCAGGGGCTGTATCCATGTCTCCCTCTACCTCTGCTGCCCCACCAGAGGCCACACTGATCCCATAGATGGAGAAGCCTCTGTACCCTCTCTGGCCGGCCATTCCTGCTGACCCCTGTGTTCTTTCTTGGGCTGCCTCCATCCCCGGGGTAGCCCTTGCCCTTCTCACCCCTCCTGGCAGATTCTTTCTCTTCTTCCCATGTGTCATTGAATGTCACATCCTCCCAGAACGCAGAGCTATCCCTCTTGAGAAGGGAGAGGGTGGGGGCCACTGGAGTGTCCCAAAAGTTTAGTGAAGGGGCATGGTGGTGACCCTCACTGACCTCCTTGAGAAATGTCCTCTGGGTCTCCTCATCAAAGCGGATCAGCTCCTTCATCACCATCACCTCACCTGTCTCCCGGTGTGTCACCTGCATAGGGACACCAAGGCACAGAGACTCAGTGTGGACCGCGGTTCTGCTCTGAGCCTGCCCCCCACCAGGGCTGCCAGGGCGATGAATGGACAGCTTCACATCTTCATGGACATTTCATGTGATGCTCTTGGCTCCCAGAGTGGGTGGAACTTATTAGCTCCTCCAGAGATGTGGAAACTGAGGCTTAGGAAAGCTTCCTAACAGGGCCAGGGTCACCCCAGCAGGGAGTTGGGTGGCTGGGGCTTGGATCCAGGACCACCTGACCCAGAGGCCAGCTCTCTTCCTCGGCTATGCTGGGCTGTCTCCTGGAGGTCGGATGGCAGCTCTGCCAGGGACTCCTTCCCTGGGAAGGGGAGCAGGGACAGGGGCTGGTGGGGCCTGGGCCTGTATGGACATGTGGGCACACTGGTCAGCACTTTCCAGCCTGCTCCTGGCCAGGTAACACTGGAGCCAGGGAAGGACTGGTGTCTCTGCAGGGGTGTGTGTGAAGGGGGTAAGCAGCAGAGGCCATGAGGGGTTGGCATCAAGCTTGGTAAGAGGACCTGTGGAGGGAGCCTTCTGGGTCAGCTGGGCGGCCCTATCATTCCCCACCCCAAGAAGCCACCTTTCAGTGACATTCCATAAAGTTCTAGGTCTATCTGTAGCAGGTCCCCTCCCGCTAACCAGCTCAGGGAGGCACGGGTGGAGGAGAGCACTGGGCAGAGTCTGGAAGCCAGATACCCCTTCCACTATGGGTTCCTGGAGGCACTGGTGGGAGGGGAAGGAGGACTAGTGGGGCCCACCCAGACTGCCCACCCAGACATGCCCATACCTTGATGGCCTGGCCGAAGCAGCCCTTGCCCAACACCTCCCCATGGATGAGGTCTGACGGCCGGAAGATGCGGTGTGGCCGGCAGACCACGCGGAGGGATTCAGAGCGACTCAGGTCCTTGTGCTGGGAGGCTGGGGAGCCCGGGGAGGCAGCACCCGGAGACCTGTCGATGCTGTAGCTCCTCCTGGGGAGGCACACACAATGCCCAGTGCCACCAGGGCAGACGGGCACCTGGCCAAGGCTCCCTCCCCCTTCCTCCTGCCTTCTATGTCCCATACAGTCGCCGCCCCCCATTCTGAGAGATGGTACAGGGCAGCTCTCCTGGGGCAGTCATAAGGCTCTTGCCCCATCCTAGTAACAGCACCTGGAGGCCCATCCTGCTTGGCCTTTCAGTCTGAGGCCCACTACTGTACAGGTGCCCTTGGTAAGAATGTTTGTCTTTGGACTTCTCTGCCTGGTGACCCTGGGTCAGATGCTCTGTCCTCCAGCATTTGGGTTTCAGGCCTTGTGGTGCAGAGACAGACAACCAGCCCAGGATGCCCATAAGCCTGCATGTAGGGGGCCTTGCAGGGGAGCCTGAGCTCCAGACAAACACAGATGAGGAGGACCCCATGCCTTCAGCACTGCTATTTCTTAGAACAAAGGCTGTCACCCAGGAAGGTACTGCCTGAAAGTATTTACCAGGAGTCCCAAACAGGCTCCACAGTAAGGGGAATAAGGACCAGGCTGTTTCTGGGTGTCTTCTGCATGGCCCCCTCTTCCTTCAAGAAAATGAGGGCCCTTGGCCACCACATGACCTGGACTGCTGGACAGCTCTCTAGCCATCTCTGTGAAACACACGCCTGTGCTGCAACACCCTTCAGTGGGGCCCCATGCTGGGTGGACAAAGTCCAAAGACCCCTGCCACATCCAAAGCCCTGCCATTAGCTTCCACCTTGGAGCCCCCCACCCCAACCACACCTGATGCTCCATCACCCTGGGCTGTTCACCAGCTGCTCCTTGAGACCAGAGTGCTGCATCCATGTCCTACTTCTCTTTACCCTTCCTCTTCCATAGCCCCCAGCACCCCTTGCTGGCCTGCTATTCTGCTATCAGATTCTGTGCTATGGAAGGGTGGGGACCAGGTCCCATCCCCCAAGGCCCAGTGTTAGTGAAAACACCTAGATAAACAAGGCGCAGGGCAACTTACAGGACAGCCTTCTGCCGGGCAGAGCTGCCTGCCTCACTGGGACTGTGTGCTGGGGAGCCCAGGGGGCTGGGTTCAGGCCCCAGCCCGTGGCCCAGTGTGTCGTGGGGGTCATGTTCCAGAGTCAGCTGGAGCAGGCGGCTGGTTTCCTGGATCAGCAGATCAATCTGGGGAGAGCAGGTGTGTAGACAGGTGAGTCCCACGTGGTGAGATGGGGTGGGGAGGGGAGTAGGCATGGAGCGAGCAACCCTGCTTTCCAGACTCGGGACTCATACCTCATCCAGGGGCACATTCCGGATGGGCGTGCCATTGATTTCCAGGATCCGGTCTCCAACATGGATGGAATTCTTCACATCTGGGCTCATGCAGCCTGGGTCCACTCTGTGGGTATAGAGCTGTGGTCAGACCCCTGCCTGACTGTCCCCTAGAGCCCTGACAGGAAACTAAGGCCAAGGGGATCAGATCAGGTGTGAAGGGGCAAATGAATTCATCTTGCATGATGGTAACTGTACAGAAACCTTCATCCTGGTTTGGTCGGGGTATGTGTGGGGTTAAGTCTGCAATTGATTACTAATGTCTGCCATGGGTATGAAATGGAGAAAAGTAGCATGCTCCTTGGTATTTGCCACCCCATAGTTGATGTTCAGGGGCTCCCATTCAACAGAGTGTTGTCTCTGCCATAGAGGACAACTGATCCTTCCACCTGTAGATGTGCTTGAGGCAGAAAGTGTCATAAAATGAGTCCTGACTCCCATACTTGCCCTGCAAGATAAGGCTAAGGCTCCCACTGCTCTGGAATCAGCGGAAAGAGGCTAGCAGCCCATCCTGAGCCACAGATGCTGGGTGGAGATGGCATGATGGTTAGGCATCCAGAAGCTAACTCATGGGACAGCCAATGTGCCAAATTTACTTGCCGCTTTTAGTTTTTGGTGATGTTACCTTGTTCTCATTCTGTCTTCATAAAAGCATTTTAAGGAATGCTCACTTTTTCTTTTCCTTGAGATGGGGCAGGGTGATACGGTGGAACAGAGAGGGGACAGAGGACTTTAAGCAAAACAGATTCCTAAAAATTCCTCATTATCAAAAGCAGATTCCCTTCCAATCTTAGGCCTTTTCATACACTGGAAAGCCAAGTAATAAATGCAGAAGAACAGTTAGAAAAGCACCATTTTGTAGCCATCAAGTATTAATCAGTACAGATAACAATCATCCATGGACGCTGAAACGATTCAGGGAAAGGCTGTAGGTGAACAGGATATATTTACAGGCTCAACTCACAAAAGACTCACTGACTACATTACAAAGAGAAGACAATCCTGAACAGCAGACAGTGGACTTCACTTTAACCAAGTAATCAAAGTTGACATCCCCATAAAGGGCACACGTTATTGACATCATGGGTCTACCAGGAAGATGCACAGAGGAGGACACAGCATCAGGTCAAAATGCATAATCTCAATGTAATGAAGAGGAAACATCAGTCAAACTCAAACGGAAGGGCACTCTCCTTTATAATCAGCCTGTTCCCTTCATAAATGTCAAGGTCATGAAGGACCAGGAGAAGCTCTGGAACTGTCACAGATTAAAAGGGACTAAAAGACATGACAGTTCAATGTAATGTATGATCGTGGGTTGGAGTCCAGATCAGGGGCACATCGCTGTTCAGGCCAGTATTGAGACAATGGGCAAAATTTGAACATGGACTGTACATTGGATAAAAGTTTTGTGTCATTGTTAAATTTTCCAAATGTCAGAATTGCATTACAAGACACAATTGGTAATTATATAAAAGGATGCTCTTGTTTTTAGGAGAATGTCTAAAGTATTTGTGGGGAGGAAGAGTCAATGTACCTGTAACCTATGCTCAAATGACTTCACAAATAATAACATGTCCATATATGCATATGTATAAATATCAATTATCACCATACATATTAGTGTACATACACACACAACAGAGGGAGATACACACACCTCCCACAGGAGGAAGAAAGTTATAACTGGTGAACACAGTTAAAAGGTGTGTAGGTAGTCAATGTACTTATTATCTGAGCAAGTTTTCATAAATTTGAAAACTTCAAGATACAAAGTTGAAGAAACAACAAATGTTTTCACTGATATAGGTTTCATGTGCATACAGCCTTAAAAGTACATTCCTTGGAGTCCCCGAGGTCTCCCCTTTCTGTCTCCCATCTAAGGCAGCGGGGCACAGATAAACTTTCCTTAAAATGCTACTATAAACAAAAGAAAATGGTCAACTAAGACTCGTTTGAAACAAGTAGATCTGGTCAGCAGCCTCTGGGCAAGTCCGGCAGGTTCTGAGAAGGGTGTGGCTCTTTGCAGAAACAGGAAAGCAGATATTGGCAGGCAAGAATGCTCATCCAGCGCGAGAGAGGTGCCCTTGGTCTCTAATCCTAACATTCTGCCTGGTATTCAGGGACCACCCAGGCATATGAATTTGATTTGCAAACCCAAGTTTATGAATTCTCAGGGGAGATTTCCCCCTCCCATGCTATGCAGGTTCAAATCAGTTTATCTAACAGTTCTGGGCGTGGGGAGCTGACGGAAGGTGTGGTTTGCTTCTCGTTCATCCTCACCCTGTGAGGCCTTTGGGGTCCCTACTTAATGGGAGAAGGGAGTAGTTCTTTTATTAGACTAGCTTCCTTGAGCAGCTCAGGGCTTTCAGAGGCCCAGCCACGGAAGGACTTAAACTGAAGCTATGTTTACTCCCTTTAGATTTGCCCTTAAGACATAGCTGCTGTTCTGGGTCAGTACTCTGCTGACACCCCTGAGCTCCTTGCTTCACTTATTCCTGACCTGAAAGAGGTTATTCCTCTTTCTTGTTGGCTCATACATTAAGAAAAACAATTTTACACATTTTATCTAGCATTTGCAATGGTTTTTAGAGGAGTGATCAGACCAGGCATTTGGTATACCAGGTTGTCAGAACTGGGTTCTATTTGTGCCCAAATGCTCACGTGTCCTCGAGACCTCCAGCCCCATAGTGCACCACCCACCAAGAGCATCCATGGCCACAGCCATTCCAGCTGCAGTCTTGGCAGGCCGGCCACTTACCCCTGGACACGGACGGTGTGGGAGTGCTCTGTGCCACAGCCTGGTGGGCCATGAGGTGGGTCGATGGAGACTGAGAGGCCACGTTTGCCATGAGCCGAGGCTGGGATGGATACTAGGGTAACTGTGTGGGGCAGGTGGGAGCTGGGCGAGTCAGGCAGGATCTGCTCAATGACGGGGGTCACCACAGTCTGGTAATAGCAGTGTCCACTGTAGGAGCCACAGGGGGTGGGGCCCCAAAGGGTGGGAAGAAGAGAGTGTCAGGAGAGTCACCAGCATCACTACCACCCCCATCCCCCAGCCCTAGGCTCTCTTCTCCCCACCTCCCCTGCTGCTCCCCATGGCAGGGGGAGGAGACTGGGAGCCGGAGGCCAGCGTGCCCAGCCCAGCCCTTGTCCCTCTCTGGGACTCAGTCATTCTGGATTTGTCTATTCTCTGTCATGCTATAAGCTGTCCAGGAAAAGGCCTGCTGATAAATCCAGTTCAGGAGGAAATCATTAAAAATCCATTTGGGATCAAGCCATGCCACCCTGGAATCCAGCTTTATCAGCAATCATATAATAAAAGAATTTGTCTGGTCTTTGTCCCTGGTTCTTGGGAAGAAGCTCTAAATACTTGGCATAGGAGTGTCTCTGTTTCTCATGAACCCTTCAGACCATACCTGAGTTTATGTTAATAAGATGACACAGGATGGGGGCTCCTTATCAGAAAGACCGTCTATGGAATTAGAGGGTAGGGCTTTGACCCAGCCTGACCTCCAAGGAGGGGAGGAGTCCGGAGATTGAATCCAATCATGTACCCAATTATTCAATCAATTATGCCTATATAATGAAACCCTAATAAAAACTCCAGTGATGCCAGAGGAGGGGGTGTCACACGCCCTGATTCCAGTAGGGACAATGCATGGAAGCTCTGTATTTGGGACCCTCCCAGACCTTGCTCTCTGGGTCTCTAACTGTCTGGTCCTAATTTGAATGCTTTATTTAAAAAAAAAAAACCCTGTAATCCTAAATATAGCACTTTCTTGAGTTCTCTGAGTTGTTTAGCAAATGATCAAATCTCAGGAGGTTGTGAGAATCCCGACTCTGTAGCCAGTCAGAAGTGGGAGTAACCTGGGGACCCCTGAACTTGGGGCTGGTGTCTGAAGTGAGGCCGGTCTTGTTGGGAGTGGGCCCTGAGCTTGCAGGATCAGATCTAACTCTGGTGGTGAGCACCAGACTGCACTGTAGAGAGATGTCCGTAAGACAGCTGATGTCTGAGGGGGCTGTCTCAGTGTAACTCCTGTGTGTTATTTCCCAGTCACTTGTACACGATCACTTCTATTAATGACTGCCCTGCTAGGGGAAGGGAAAGGGCCCTAGTGTGGGCCTGTGATACACGTGGGCATGGCAGGCTTGGGGAGGGGCCAGGGCACTCACCAGTACAGCTTGGAGTGCTCCACCAGTGTGTAGGTGTCCCCGTCACCGATGAAGGTCCCACATGTGAGGCAGATGAAGCACTCGGGGTGGTATTTCAGCTCCCCGGCCACCTGGGTGGGGAGGCAGGAGGGGCAACCCAGCTCAGCAGCTGCCCAGCTCCCATAACTCCTCCCCACAGCCCCCTCTCAGGAGGGAAGCCATGAAACAACCTCAGGAGCCTGGCTGGACAGCTGCTGAGCTCGCTCATTAAATGGGGGGTTGCTGAGAGAGACAGATGTGCCTTCAGAAGGCATGGGGGAATCAGAACCAGTGAAAGAACCAGAGAGGGGAAGCAGGGAGCCTGTGAGTAGGATGGCACACACATGCACACACACAAGCATTCCCAGGGAACTGTGTGAGTGGGGGAGGGGCGCTTACCATGACCAGCCCCTTGGTGATGTGCTCTGAGCACCCATGGCAAGACTCGCCATAGCGGGCCCAGTAGTCCTTCTTGCAGAAGAGCTGCCCATCCTTCTCATAGTACTGGTGTGAAAGGGAGGCACTGCACTCACAACACCTGGCGGGAAGAAGGCCTGACTGAGTGTGGCCCACTCCCGCCCCTTCCCCCACTGCTGGGCCTTGCCACAGTCTCTAGGTGCCTTTTTAAGGATAAAAGAGAGGTTTGCCCCCTGGGCGCCAGCAGCCTGGGCTGGGGCACAGGGCGTAGCAAGTGGAGTAAGGGGTGGCCCCCAGGCTGCAAGCCTATATGCAGTGCACAGCCTGCACACTCACCCGTGGCAGTTCTGCACCCAGCGTGTCAGGTCTACCTGCTAGCCCCAGGATGAGAGGTCCTCCTCATCCGTGTGCCTTTCTCTTGCTGTGCAAGGAAGATGGCCCAAGTGATTGGCTCCTGATCATCTGTCAGGTGGAGGGTGGAATGGAACCTGAGAGCTGAGGATTCAGGTGGTGGGGCTGAATAAAGCAGGGACCTGGTGACCCTTCCAGTTTAGCAAGCTTCCTCTCCCTCCCCTGCCCCCAGCAATGTAGAGGCAGATTGGGCCAGCTACTGTAGGTGGCAGAGACCTGCTGGAGCTGTGAAGACCTACTAAATGTTAGCACCCTCCCATTGTCTTAGCCAAATTTACTTAATCCTCACAAGCCACCAAGAAGCAGGAACAGCTATGCTCATTTTAGAGATGAGGCAGATGAGCTTTGAAGGTTCTAAATAGCCCAAGGTTGCACAGATGGGTGCCATAGGCCCCCCAAAGCTACTCCCTGTCTCACAAAGCTGTAAGGTAGAAGTTCTCAGTACAGACCAGTCAGGATCAGTCAAGAGGAGGGATCTCCAGGTGCTGCCAGTCATAAGAAGGCTCAGCACAGCCCTTCCCCTCAGCCCATCAGAGCCTGCATCCCCACACCTTCCCTCAGTAGAGTAGTCATGCTCTACAGAGAATGTCCAGAAGTCCAAGGTCAGCAGGGCCAAGCTCCCCTGCCCCATCACCAGGGGAGACCTGGAGAGCCTGGCTGGTAGGGCCCCTGAAAGGCAACTGGGGAAAAATGATATACTGGTTTCTAGGTGTCATCCCACTTAGAAGGCCAGGAGTAGACCTACATGCCTGGCTTCTTTCCACCCAAGCATCAGGGTTCTATGGGGACCAGCAGACCAAGAGTCAGGATGAGCAAATGCAGAAATGCAGGATCCCCACTGAGCCCCCAAGGGCACAAGTCCATTGGGTTATGAAGAGCCTGACCCAGGGTCCTAGTGCACAGGTGTATCTGGGTCAGAGTACATACTGTGCAGAGAATCCATCCAGCTCTGCTGCTGTTTGGACCATCTGGGAGATGAGCCAAGATCACACAAGGGCAGGAGGACCCAGGCTCAGAGCTCAAGGCTCAGCAGGGAAACGATCCAGGAAAGATTGGGACCTGAGTATACCCATCCCCCAGGCAGCCAGGGAGCCCTCCACCCTACTGTAGCCTGCACCCGGTAGTTCTCACGGACTGTACTCATTAGCCAGGCTCATTGGCTGTTGACTACTCCTTAACTAGAGAGCTGGGGGCGTGGGGGGCAAGGGGGGCGAGGACAGCAGCAGAGAGCCGGTGGGACACTGTCCCTTTAAGAGGATCCAGCCAGTTCCCCATTGTCTGGGAGCCTGAGGGGAGGGGCAGGGGACCACAGCCAGGGGCTGGGGGTGGAAGGCACAAAATGCTTGGGTTCAGAAGCACTTGGGTGGGGGTGCGTCCAGGAAAAGGGTGTCTGATGAGCTCCCACTATGAGAGGGGGAGCGGAGGGGGAGGCCTCAGAGAGAGGGCCCTGGGATGTGAGAGGCAGCGGAAGCAGCAAGCAGCGGCTGGCCGGGAGCCACCACGTCATCCGCAGCCCTTCCTGCCCCGCACTCCGCCCAGCCCACAGCCTGGCTGGCCCTGGTCGCCCGGAGGGGCAGGCATCTTACTATGGTGGGTCAGGAGGGTGGATGCACAGAGATGGGGCTCACCTAGCGGGAAGGTGCTGCAACAGGACAAGTAGGCTCTGCAGAGGCAGGCACACGCTGCTCCATGACCTTGGGGAGGCACCCCACACTCTGCTGATCAGTGATTCGTTTCACCTTCCACCCACCAACCAGACGTCACAGCAGTGTCACGGTGGGAGTCTCCCCCTCATGCTTGGCTGTCAGGCTGCAGGAAGCAGGGGCCCGCCTGACTCTCCGTGGGTGGGGTGGTGAAGGCTCAGGAGCAGCTGCCTTCCTCCAGGGAGGGAAAGCTCTCCTCCCCTGCAGACTCCTACTCCTTCACTCACTCACAAACATTCGGAACTATAGCAGCCTTGGAAGACCCACACCGCTGCAGCCGAGGGCTCATGAATGCAATCAGCCTCCTGGTCACCACTTCCTTTAAGCGTGCACAGAGGCCTAGCTGGGACACAGCCGACCCCCATGCAGTCTGTGCCACTAGCCTTTGTTGACCCACCAGTCTCTGCCATTAACCTGAGGGCTCTTGGAGGTCCCAGGCCAGGCATCCTCAAACACTGGACCCAAAGAGTACATGAGTGTTACTGCCCACACTCAGCCTAGAAGAGTTCCCCACCCCCATCCAGCATCCTCAGAACTGTTCCAGGGCACCCAGCTGGGCCTCCATCTCCAACTGGGAACAAGGGATCGGGGATCTAGCCCAGGCTCACATAGCCGCTCAGTGGCTGGCACCCAGGAACTTTGCTGATGGACGGCACCTAGAAGCCTGTGACCCTGTCCGTCCCTTCACCCTGTCTGTCCCTTCACCCCATAGGCCCACACTTGGCTAGGTGCCAGAGGAGGAATGTGGGGCAGGCAGGCGTGGCTCTAAGGGTGCCCCACACATGCCCCTGCCCCCACAAAGGATGTCAGGAGAGGAGTCCCAGGTATTGAGGGTGTGTAGAGATGGGCCAGGACCAGACAGAGAGGAACTCCTGGAGGACAGTCATGTCCACCCCCTTATGGGGCCCCATCCCTGAGAGCAGGCAAAGATGAAGCCAGGCTTGGGCAGGAGAGGACGGAGCCCTGGGCGGGCATGAGAAGGCTGGGCGAGAGGGCAGCGGCAACCTCTGCAATGACAGATCCATCCCCTTCAGGGGCGCCCTCTACCAAGGGCCACATCCCTGGATACCAGGGGTGAAGGGAGAGCAGCCGGAGGACCAGCCTCACAGGGAGACTGTACCAGAAGGGCCAGCAGCTTCAACAGCGGCTTGCTTCCCCTCAACAGGTGGCAACAGTGACCAAGGAGTTTCAGTTCTGCCCCACATCCCAGACCCAGGTAGGTCTGACCCACAGCTGCCTCCAGCCTCAGCCCTAACCCCAGGGGCTGCCTGAGGTGTGCGGCAGCGGGCAGGGGGCTTCCCACTTACTTGGCCCCTCTGATGACACGCCTCCTTCTCAGGGCCGAGGTCATCATCCTTTGCAGCTCCCTACAGCAGGGCGCTCTGGAGGCCTGCGGGGAGCACCGGGGTGGGCCCCACTGACTGCTTCCCCATCCTACTCCAGGCGCTCAGGATTGGAGGCTGTAGAGGGTGGGGCTAGCGTGGCCACACCACGTACACGATGAGGATGCAGCGAAGAGGGAGCTGAGGGACTTGGTCTAAGCCGGCAACAGGAAGCAGTTGCTGGGCCTCCTGCTGAGGCTCCCTGCGGGCAGGGAAGCTGTGGCCCCGACTGTGGTCCCGAACTCTACCGAAAGGCACCCAACACAACCCTCGGCCTCTGCTCTGACAAAGGCATGGGGACAGGGAGAAGCCCTAAAGCAGCTGCTTCCTTCCCGTGCCGCTCCCCGGGGGAACAGAGGCTGACTTCCATGGGTAGCTACCCTTCTGGCCTGAAGGGTCCCCCGAAGAGGGGGAGGCTGTATCCTGGCCTGGGCTCCAGCCCCGCGTGCTAGCTGCGGCTCACCCCTCCTTGCCGAGGGCCTGCCTACCCAGCCTCCATGGAGATGTTACCAGGGCTTGTGTGCTGCAGCCTTCTGGGAAGGGACCTCTCAGAGGAAGCAGAGGACCCAAAGGGAAGCCTGGACCACTCTGGGCCTGGCTGTACCCTTCTGGGAGGTGGGGCCCACAGGGAGTGGGACCTGGGGTGACAGTGGCCCCCAGTGCTAATGCCAGAGGCATCCTGTGGGACTTAAGCAGCTCGCCCACTTGCAAGGCCTTGGTGCCCAGAGGCTATGCCTGTCCCACTTCATGGCACAAGGTGCTTCCAGGGAGAAAGTAAGCAGAGGCCAGAGCCCGGCTGCGTGATGGCCCTGGGGCCCAGGGAAGTAGTGACTCTATTCTGAGCTGCTTTGCTAACTATTATGAGGGTGAGGACACTGTTGGCCTCACCTAGACTTGGGGGCTGTTGGGAAGACCACACACCACTGAGACAGCAACACCTACGTAAGCCGCAGCATAGCAGCCATGGCTCTTACTGCCTGTGGGCCCTCCCCACCAAGGGAGGCTTCTCCGGGCCCCCGTCAGGCCAGGGATGGCCCCAGCATGCCTTCTGCCTGCTGCCTCCGCCCAGGGCCTCACCGCTTCCCCACTGCGGCTTCCACAGCTGAACTCCTGGTCCTCCCCAACGTCTCCCAGGGCTCTGTCTCTTTCTGCACCTCACGCATCCGGGTCTCCAAAGTTCCTCCCCTGATTTCTTTTGGTTCCATCCCAAATCCCATCCACCATCTTGGTGCCAACCCTGAGTGGGCTATTCTCTCTGGCCTTCCCAACTCTGACCCGTCTCAGACCACCTCAGCCAGCTCTGGGCAGGGCACTGCCACCCTAGAAGTCTGCCACACCTTAGCTCAATACGACGGGCACAGCTCATCCCCAACCTCCTCCAGAGCCAACAGCCTGCCATGCTCCCCAGAACCCAGAGTAAAAAATCAGACTGCCTTGGAATTTGCCCCTGCCAGTAACCAGCCCCCACGGCTACCCCTCCCCCTGTGCCTCTCACCCCTTCAGCTCTGCAGTGATTTGAAGAGAGACAGAGGCCTGAGTCCTGGCTTTAGTACTGCAACTTTCAGCAAGGAATCTGATTTCTCTGAGCTTGCATTTCTTGCTCATGTGTAAGCCGGGCACAGGAAGGCAGTGCACACAGTTATGGTGAAAGTTGAGTGACAGAACATTAAAAGAGTGCCCAATAGATGGTGGCTGATAAGACTACTACTTGCCAAAATAGTGTTCCTTCTGTATCTGAAAGTCTCTTCTCTTTTAGTCAATATCTTAGGTCAGACCTTCTGTGCTCAGATCTCTGAACTGTTGTGACAGTCCCTTCCCTGCCAAATTACTGCCATCTGCCCACTGGAATGGCATTTTTTTCAATAGCACTTCCACCCACATCCCTCCCTTGCTTTCTGAAACCCTTTGCTGGTCCTCTACTTCCCTCAAGAAGGTCCTTAGCTGGGCCTTCAGGGCCCTTCACAAATCGATCCTAACTTTGCCTCCTCATTGTCACTCAACTCACTCTTCCCAACAAAATGAGCTGCTTCCATTCTCTGTCTCTGTGCAGTGGTTTTCTCCCCTCCCTGCCAAAGGTCTCCTTGTGAACTCCTGATTAGGAACCCCAGGGCATGATGCCTGCCCTTCTTCTGGCCTCACCAGTCAGGGTGGGCACTGGGTGTTCATTTCACTCACTCGCTATTTGACTTTGGTCAAAAGAATTAATAGAGACAACAGAGTATCTAACTACACAAAGTCCTTAGGATAGTGCTTGGCCCCTACTAAAAGAAAATGTTACATATTATTCTTAGAAAAGAAAGAAAAAACCTCTTCAGAGGTTCCTACTGCCTAAAATCAACTCCTTCGGCTAGTGGTTGAGGCTTCAGCCCCAGCAGAGCCTCCCAGCTTCACCTCCTCTCCTTTACAGTGCTCTGCCTGAACTCTGCTGTTCACTCACTGGGTCAGGTCCTGTCACCATTTCACCCTTGGTACCTGCCAGGGCCTCTGCCTGGAATCTCTTCCTGCCACACTTCTCAATACAGGAAATCTCACATCTTTTGAGACCCTAGCTCTGTCCCTATAGCCAACTCTAGCCCCTGTACCTGCCTCTCAGGATGGACCTACTGGGTTGTGGGCCATCTTTGGGTCCCCATGTGCTTAGCCCCAGCCCTGACCCCTCTCTCCTACACTTGGGAGTTGGTATCTGGTGGGAGGGGGCTGATGTTACTGGGCTATGCATCTTAACAACCAGCCTGGGGCCTGGTGAGGGAGGCCCAGCTTCCCCTGAGGCTGGGTTTGTCTCCCTCACTCCTCTGGAGTATGAATACCCTGAAGGCAGGGGTGGACGGTCCTCCACCTCCTCCCCTGCCAAGGTGCCAACAGCCCTTGGTAATACTGGTGGAAATGTAGGTGTGTCCTCGGAGATCCAGAATCAGAAAACAGAAAGGCCGTTAGGGATATTCTAGTCTAACTGCCTCATTTACAGATGGGGAAACTGAGGCTAAGGATGTACTGGAAGTCACGAACAGGGACAGCACAAGAAGGAATAGCCAGGCCTTCTGGATTGCTGGCCTAGCCTCTAGCAGGACTTGCTCAGGCCCCCACCCTGGCCAGCCCACCCTACCTGAAGCAGTCTGTGTGCCAGTCAGCATTCAGGGCCTGGAGGTACTGGCCGTCATAGATCCTCTGGCTGCAGCTCGCACACACGGGCAACTCGCTTCCTGCAGGAGCAGGAAGCGTGTCAGGACCCACTCAGGAGGTGCAGTCTGGTGTCAGCCCAGCCTGCCCTGCTGACTCCATGTGCACCTGCACAAATCCTTGTGCGCGCGCGCACACACACACACACACACACACACACACACACAGCATCCAGGCTGAGCAGTCACTGTGCCAAGCAGGAGAAAGGATGTAGGTCTGAGGGTCTTGCTGAGACCTTGGCTAAGTTACTAAGCTTTTCTGGGCCTCAGTTTCACTATCTGTAAACTGCAGAGGGGGTTCAGATGTCCCCCTCTCGCAACAGCATTCTTCAACTCAGGGTCTGGTAAGGTAAATGGGGAGAAAGAAAAAAGGATTTAGAAATATCAGCAGGTCACATTCTTGTTACAGCCCCATACCTCCTCTGCCTGCCCAGGAAGAGGGCCCTTCAAAGGGTGGGGACTGGACAGGGCTGGATTGATGTATTCTGGGCTGAAGTCCCCTGGGAGGGGAAGGGCAGGAAGCCTAGAGGTGCTGGTCTCAATTGAACCTTGGCTCTGCCCTGGCCTGAGAAGAGTTGGGCACTCCCAGATACCTGCTCTGGGGAAGCCTGGCACCTTTTCAAGCTGGCCACTAGGCATGCTTAGTCATCCTTGGGGCCTGGCACCCTTGGAGCTGGGTGGGCTCTGGAAGATCCCCCAGGCCAGCCCCTCCCTGTTGTATAGATGGGAAGACGGATTCCTGGAAGAAGGTAACACTTGCCTGGTCACATAGCCAGGCTCCCAGGCCACAGACTACTCCCCCATGAGGACCCAGAGGCCTAAGGGGTGACAGGTGGACCCTTGTCCCAAGTAGGCCTTCAAGGGCCTTGGGGGTGGGGAGGGTTGCCAGTAGCCCCAGGGGAGGGCAGGGCTGGAAGGGCTGGCACAGTAGAGATCTGCATTGGACAAGGTGAGCCTGTGTGATGGAAACCCAGGGAAGGAGACCCCAGGGAAGGAATCTTGGGGTGGGGGGAGGGAGGGAGGACGGGTCTTCACCTAGCTGTCGTGCAACCCCAAACCCTGGGCCCCAGTAAGGGGGAAGGACTGAAGAGGAGGCTGAGAGTCATCCTCCCAGCCAAGACTGCAGGTTTGGTGCAGGGAGAGGGGGTGGGAGCCCCCAGCATACTGCCAACGGGTCCCTGGAGGCATATCTCTACTCTGTCCATCTGGGCCCCCAACCACCAGTACTGGGAGCCAACTACCCTGCCCCCAATTGTTCACATGGGGAAAACAGACCTCGCAGGTAGCGCCTCGCTCAAGGTCAGAGTCGGGTAGGCGACTGAGCCTCAGGGCTACGGTTTGCCCAGAGTCTCCTTCTTCCCGGCCCGGTTAGAGATTGGATAAGGGGTGGTCCCAGGGCAAGCCCAGGGTGCAGAGAGCTACAGGATGGAGCCTGGGGCTGGGCGAGCAGAGCCTGAGACTCCACCAAGGTGGTCGCTGGTCGAGTGATCGGGGAAGGCGGGGATGAAAGGGAAGAGAGGCCCTCCGCCGGCGGAAGGGCAGCCCACCCAGGGCCGAGAAGGGGGAAACGTGGTGGCAGCCTGTCAGGGAGGGGCTGCGGGCTTCGGAAGGACGAGCTCATCCCGAAGGAGGCAGGGGCGCGGCCTCGCGACAGACCCGGCCTCCACGGCGCCCGGCCCGGCCCCCTCCCAGGCATCCCGCTACTCCCGAGCACCCCGCTCCCCCGGTGCGGCGCCCCCGGCCGGCCCCGCGCCCCGCGCACCTTCCTCTCCCATACGTTCTTCCCTCCAGGTGCAACAAAGTAGCGTCAACCTCATGCACACGGCGGGGGGCGGGGCCCGGCGGGGCAGGGGCTGGGGGCGGCCCGGGCCCCGCAAGCTCGCCCGCAGCCGCCGCCGCCGCCGCCGGCCCGGGAGGCGGAGGCGGAGGCGGACAGCGCGGGCCGGCCCGGGTGGGCTCGCGGCTCTCGGCGCAAGCGCCGCCGCCTCTCGGACACCGGCTCCAGCACCGGCTCCGCGCCGCGACGGCCTGGGGAGGGACGGAGGGGCGGGCCGGGGCGGGGCCTCCGAGCTGCGGCACGGGGGCGGGGTGGGCCTCGGACAGCGCGGAACTGCCCTGCGCGGTCCCGCCCCGAGCCGGCGGCGCCCCGCCCCGCCCCGTCCTTTCATTCATCTTTTCCCGAGCGCCAACAGTCTGCTGGGCAACACCAGGCGGGGTCGCGTAAATCGACGCGTGAAGCGGCGTCGGAAGGGGTGAGTGCTCTAAGGCCGCACCCTGGTGACGCAGACGCCCAGAGAAAGGGCCTCGTTTTCTGCGGGGAGCCCCTCTCACCCAAGCCAGCTGGAGGAGCCGTTGTGACCCTGTGGAGGGGCGCTGGCCCGGTCTTCTCCCACTTGACGTCTGCAGTGAGCGCAGGTCCCGGCGAGGCGCTAAAGGAGCAGGACCTGCGGAAGGAGTGAACGTCTGCCCTGCTGTGACCGATGTGTGCAGGGCTTTGCTGGAGACCTGAAGCTGGCGCTGCCCTGCCCAGGGTTCAGGAGGAGGCACAGCTGAAGACGGTTGGGGCCTAGTGAAGTGGCCAGAAAAAGCGGGCCATCCCCATAGCACAGGGGCACAGTCCAGCACGGAGGAGTGGAGCAGGAGCACCCTGCCTGGAAGTGAGAATCCTGGAGCAGAAGAGCAGAGCTGCGCAGACTAGGGGTCCTGCCATCCCGTTTGTGTAGACTTCTCTAGCCAGGGCTGGGGACCAGTGGCCTGCAATGCAGAGGCACTCATCCTTGGATGCAAAACAGTCACCAGGGGGAGGGAAGAAATATTAGGATTCTTATTTCTAATAAGAAGGAGGTTGTATCTGTGAAGGAGCGATTCTCAGGGAGGAGAGATGTGGGGCTGATAAAACCTAACATATCTGCTGCGCAAGGACTCCTAAGGTAGGCAGATGAGCATCACTATGCCTCCAAAGTCTCTGGGTGACCCCGAGAAAGCCTTCTTCTCTAAGGTATTGCCCATTATTGACAGATATAAAATATGGACAATACCTAATTTTCCCTTCTATAAACATTTTCCTTTATATGATCCACAATTTCCTTCTGTAAGAGGTTTATAAGGGTAGCTGATTGTAATTACCAATGTAATCTGGAAATAATTTTCTAGGAAAAATAAAAAAAATTAAAAAATTAAAAAAGGAGGTTGTGCTTTTATAATTCTTAATATATTTACTTAAAATATTTAAGTATTTGCTGAAATAAATTAAGTATTTCAGATTGATGCTGGTGCCCTCGCTGTCCCTGTTCATCAGATGGCCCCAGGAGAGGGCCACCCATGCAGGGGAGGGCAGGCTAGATGGGCTATCATAGTAGGGACCTGCATTGAACCAGGTCAGCCTATGTGATGGTTCAGCTGAGGAAACCCAGGGAAGGAGACCCCAGGGAAGGAATGTTATGGGGGTGGGGGCTTCATACCCTAGCTGGTGCAACCCCAAGCCTTGGAACCCAGTAAGGGGGAAGGGACGGAAGGTCCACAGAGTGGACCTGGAGGGGCAGTGGGCCTATGTCCAGCTAGCTGAGTGTTATTACCCAGTTTTAACAAATGAATCCTCACAGAATGGACTCATGGCTGCAAAAGATTCCTGAAAAGAAAGCAGAGATTGAAGAAAATGCTAGTATTTCAGGATGAGCAAAAAGATAGAGCTGGCACTTCCATGCCCAGTAGGAACAGTTGCTGGTGAAACCAGTGACCAGTTTGTCATATCTGATATATTCTGTCACATTGCTCATATGAGGTATGAAATCTTTTTTTAACTGAAAGCAAAATAGGAATTTTGTACTTTTCAATAATGACTTTCAAACAATGCATTTTCAGAGCAGTCTTCGTAAACTCTGCTTTTGCACTGTTATGTGATGAACATTTTATCTGTATAGTCAAGAATATACATAATTTATAAGTGAGTATGTGGCAAATGTATATATGGTGCTTTGCAAAAATACTTTCCTGATGGGGGCTCTTGGAAAAAATTTCTAATGAGGGGTCTAGAGCCCTGTGAGAAAAGCTCCGTTTCTCCAGGTCAGGGATTAGGATTTGTCCAAACTTGCCAAATTGGTGCCCAACGGAACAAGCTGGTGATAAGCAAGAGGCTCTGTTGGGGCACTGTCACAGCCCACCACAGAACCCAGAGCCTGAGCTGCCCTAGCCTAGGGATAGAAAGAGAGCTGGCATCATGGGATCCCTGTTGTCAGACCCAGTCTGCCCTCTCCTTGCCCACTCTGGATGACCTCATTCTGACACGTGACTCCCCTGCCCTCTCCTTGAAGTGTAGACATAAGGACCCAGGTGTCTACTTGGCATCTCCACCTTGATGGCAAATGGGCACCTGAAACTTAATGCACCTCAGCCAGAGCTGTTAATGTGTGCCCAAACTACCCCTTTGCCAGGTGTTTCTCATCTCAGTAAATGACACCACTGTCATCTAGTGGTTCAGGACACTTGGATGTGGCCCTGACCTCCCTCATTGTCTCTCCCTACTCCTTGCTTCTGATCCATCAGCAAATCCTATTGGCTCTCTGTATAAAATGGACTCAGAATTCTACCACTTCTCCCTCTTCCCTGGTCTAGCTGGGTGGACAGTGCAACAGCCTCTAACTTATCTCCTCGTTACCCTTCAGAGCCTCTGAACACATGGTCAAAGTGTGACATTTCCCTGCTTTCAAACCCAAATCCCTTACCTGGGCCCTTTTGGAACCTACCCCCTGGCTATTTCTTTGTCCTTATTTCTGCTCTCCTTGCTCACTTTTGCTGACCATGGTGTACTTCTGCTATTCTAACTTCCTGATCAAAGGGCCTTTGACCCCAACTATCCTGATTTAACATTCTTTGGTGCTATTTCCTTATTTGGCTTTCATCCTCACAGCACTGATTCACCTGACATTAGAGTTAAGCCTTTATTCACTGGTTTCCTATGGCTGCTGTGACAAATAACCACACAGTGGCTTAAAGGAGCAGAAATTAATTTTCTCACTGTTCTGGAGACCAGATGTTCAAAGTCAGTTTCACTGGGTGGAAAGCAAGGGCTACGCTCCCTCTGTAGGCTCAAGAGCAGAATCTGTTCCTTTCTTTTTCCAGCTTCTCTCTTTTTTAAATTGAGAGAAAAAAAACACATAAATGTACCATCTTAACCATTTTTAGGCATACATTTCATTCAGTATAAGTATATTTACATTGTTGTGAAACAGATCTCCAAAAGTTTTCCATCGCCCAAATTTGAAACTCTATGACAATTAACAGTTCCCCTTTCTCCCTCCCCAAGTCCCTAGTAACCACTATTCTACTTTATATTTTTAGGAATTTGACTACACTAGTTACCCACTGTAGGTAGAATCATACAGTATTTGTCTTGTGACTGGTTGATTTCACTTACCATAATGTTCTCTAGGTTCATCCATGTTGCAGCATGTGACAGGATTTCCTTCCTTTTAAAAAAATTTTTTTTATTAAGGTATTATTGATATACACTCTTATGGAGGTTTCACATGAAAAAACAATGTAATTACTACATTTACCCATATTATCAAGTTCCCCCCATACCCCATTGCAGTCGCTGTCCATCAGTGCAGCAAGATGCCAGAGATCCACTATGTGGCTTCTCTGTGCTACACTGTTATCCCCGTGATCCCCCACACCATGTGTACTAAATATAATACCCCTCAATCCCCTTCTCCCTCCCTCCCCACCCGCCCTCCCACACCCCTCCCCTTCGGTAACCACTAGTTCCTTCTTGGAGTCTCTGAGTGTGCTGCTATTTTGTTCCTTCAGTTTTGCTCCATTGTTATACTCCACAGATGAGGGAAATCATTTGGCATTTGTCTTTCTCCGCCTGGCTTATATCACTGAGCATAATGTCCTCCAGCTCCATCCATGTTGTTGCAAATGGTAGGATTTGTTTCTTTCTTATGGCCGAATAGTATTCCATTGTGTATATGTACCACATCTTCTTTATCCATTCATCTACTGATGGACGCTTAGGTTGCTTTCTTATCTTGGCTATTGTAAAAAGTGCTGCAATAAACATAGGGGTGCATACATCTTTTTGAATCTGAGAAGTTGTATTCTTTGGGTAAATTCCAAGGGGTGGGATTCCCAGGTCAAATGGTGTTTCTATTTTTAGTATTTTGAGGAACCTCCATATTGCTTTCCACAGTGGTTGAACTAGCTTACATTCCCATCAGCAGTGTAGGAGCGTTCCCATTTCTCCACATCCTCGCCAGCATGTGTTGTTGTTTGTCTTTTGGATGGTGGCCATCCTAACTGGTGTGAGGTGATATCTCATTGTGGTTTTAATTTGCATTTTCATGATGATTAGTGAGTGATGTGGAGCATCTTTTCATGTATCTGTTGGCCATCTGAATTTCTTCTTTGGAGAATTGTCTCTTCATATCCTCCACCCATTTGTTAATCAGGTTATTTGCTTTTTGGTGTTGAGAAGTGTAAGTTCTTTATATATTTTGGATGTTAACCCCTTGTCGGATATGTCATTTACAAATTTATTCTCCCATACTGTAGGGTGCCTTTTTGTTCTGTTGATGGTGTCCTTTTCCGTACAGAAACTTTTTAGTTTGATGTAGTCCCATGAGTTCATTTTTTGCTTTTGTTTCCCTTTCTCAAGGAGATGGGTTCAGGTAGAAGTTCTCATGCTTATATTCAGGAGATGTTTGCCTATGTTGTCTTCTAAGAGTTTTATGGTTTCATGACTTACATTCAAGTCATTGATCCATTTCGAGTTTACTTTTGTGTATGGGGTTAAACAATAATCCAGTTTCATTCTCTTACATGTGGCTGTCCAGTTTTGCCAACACCAGCTGTTGAAGAGGCTGTCATTTCCCCATTGC